TTGCCCTCACTTCCTGGATGTCACAAGAGCTTCATGCAGCTCTGCTGTGGGAAAAACAAGCTAGACACTAGTTTAAACTGTTGAAAAGTTTTATGGAATAATATTTGCAGCAGTTAAATAACATTTTACAGATGATTATGGTTTACTAGCAGGAAACCACTTTGGTCTTGGTTGTACTTTTTCACTCCTCGACTAGGACGTAAACCCCATTTCTCTGAACAAAGGCCATTCCAGAAGCTAGCTACACAAACAAGGAGAACACGCTAACATGAGTTAATGACCTCAGAGCATTTCTCTTTAGTTCATTTGCTTTTTTGTTTTTTCTCAGATGAACAAACCAAACCTCCAGTCTGGATTTTCGTTTTATTTAATATTCAACAACATGAAGTCCAAAAGGTTTGCTGACCATCTCTAAAGTCACACTTTACTGAAAAAATTACATGAAAGTAAATAAAAACTCAGAGCTGCAGCGCTTCGGACACAGCAGACACTGGAGCTCCTCTGTCAGACTGCTAAGATGTAAGTCTCAGTTCATCTTCAGCGTCCCCAAAGCAACATTTATGGAAGAGCACCGCAGATTTGTGGATCAGTCTGTGTCAGAAGCAAACAGGAACCCTAACCCTAGACCGGATATCTAAAAAAAAGAAAAGGTGGCATTAAAAATCAAGAAACACCCGAAGCATCATAGTTTGACGTTTAGAGCTCCTATCAATTCCAGAAAACATCACAGGGCTCCTTTTGGCCCACAGCACCAGTGGGCCTGATGATGGTCTCGCTTTTAAGATGCTTTCATGAGCCGCTGTGGCAGAAGGCCATCTGAGGGTCTCACATGGTGTTAAAGGTCAGTGTTTGTAGGGAAAAGGCTGCTAAGCCCGGTAAGTGTGTTTTCTCTATCCCTTATGCAATGACTCAGCATAGCCGGCTTTGAGAAGTTATTAGAAGATGCTTAAAGCATTATCAGCACCAGGACAAGACCTGTGAGACCCCCTGATTGAGCCAATAAAGGAGAGTGAATTGTTAAACCTACTGCCTAGTAGACCGCCATCCTAAAAGAAGGGATTATTCCCCATCGGAGTTGCTAATCTAAATTAAATCTTTCCTTTATGAATGAAGGCCTCCTTGTACTTCAGAATTATGTCAATATTATAAAGGTGCCATTCTTGTGGGGTTGACCCATGAGTCTGTCTCTTTGTGTGCTTGGTGTGCACTTTGGCTATTTATGAGGATAATCTAAAGTCTACGGAACGTTTGTATGTGGTTCTTGCAGCTGGGGGACTACATTTCTGACACAGCCAGTAACATGATGCTGGTGGACGAGCACATCCTGTGGATGGCTCAGAATGAGGCCAGGGCGTGTACCCGGATGGTCCAGTGTGTGGAGCGCATCGCTGACCTGGCTCTAAGTGAAGATAACCAGGTCATTTCTAAGGTATACACTGGTGATCAGCTGGCACCGTGAACACCACAGCACCAAGGAAAACAGAGCCACACGCGTGGTGTTTGGAAATCAGAACATGAATCAGCATTTTTCAGTTTCAGCAGAGGATCACAGAGCAGGGAGACCGTTTATCGTCACGAAGCAGGGAGACAGTTTATTGTCACAAAGCAGGGAGACATTTCATTGTCACGGAGCAGGGAGACAGTTTATCATCAGAGAGTACAGAGACAGTTTATTGTCATGGAGCAGGGAGATAGTTTATCATCAGAGAGCACAGAGACAGTTTATCGTCACGAAGCAGGGAGACAGTTTATCATCAGAGAGTACAGAGACTGTTTATTGTCATGGAGCACAGAGACAGTTTATTGTCACGGAGCAGGGAGACAGTTTATCACCAGAGAGCACAGAGACAGTTTATCACCAGAGAGCACAGAGACAGTTTATTGTCACGAAGCAGGGAGACAGTTTATTGTCACGGAGCACAGAGACAGTTTATCACCAGAGATCACAGAGACAGTTTATCGTCACTAAGCAGGGAGACAGTTTATCGTCACTAAGCAGGGAGACAGTTTATTGTCACGAAGCAGGGAGACAGTTTATTGTCACGGAGCACAGAGACAGTTTATCACCAGAGATCACAGAGACAGTTTATCGTCACTAAGCAGGGAGACAGTTTATCGTCACGAAGCACAGAGACAGTTTATCACCAGAGATCACAGAGACAGTTTATCGTCACTAAGCAGGGAGACAGTTTATTGTCACGGAGCAGGGAGACAGTTTATCATCAGAAAGCACAGAGACAGTTTATCTTCAGAGAGCACAGAGACAGTTTATTGTCATGGAGCACAGAGACAGTTTATTGTCACGGAGCAGGGAGACAGTTTATCATCAGAGAGCACAGAGACAGTTTATCACCACGAAGCAGGGAGACAGTTTATCATCAGAGAGTACAGAGACAGTTTATCGTCACGAAGCAGGGAGACAGTTTATTGTCACAAAGCAGGGAGACATTTCATTGTCACGGAGCAGGGAGACAGTTTATTGTCACAAAGCAGGGAGACATTTCATTGTCACGGAGCAGGGAGACAGTTTATCATCAGAGAGCACAGAGACAGTTTATTGTCACGGAGCACAGAGACAGTTTATCACCAGAGAGCACAGAGACAGTTTATTGTCACTAAGCAGGGAGACAGTTTATCATCAGAGAGCACAGAGACAGTTTATCATCAGAGAGCACAGAGACAGTTTATTGTCATGGAGCACAGAGACAGTTTATTGTCACGGAGCAGGGAGACAGTTTATCATCAGAGAGCACAGAGACAGTTTATCACCACGAAGCAGGGAGACAGTTTATCATCACAGAGCTCAGAAACAGTTTATCGTCACGAAGCAGGGAGACAGTTTATCGTCACGGAGCACAGAGACAGTTTATCACCAGAGAGCACAGAGACAGTTTATTGTCACAAAGCAGGGAGACAGTTTATCGTCACGGAGCACAGAGACAGTTTATCACCAGAGAGCACAGAGACAGTTTATTGTCACGAAGCAGGGAGACAGTTTATCATCACGGAGCACAGAGACAGTTTATCACCAGAGAGCACAGAGACAGTTTATCGTCACGAGGCAGGGAGACAGTTTATTGTCACGGAGCACAGAGACAGTTTATCATCAGAGAGCACAGAGACAGTTTATCATCAGAGAGCACAGAGACAGTTTATTGTCACGGAGCACAGAGACAGTTTATCACCAGAGAGCACAGTGACAGTTTATCGTCACGAAGCAGGGAGACAGTTTATCGTCACGAAGCAGGGAGACAGTTTATCGTCACGGAGCACAGAGACAGTTTATCACCAGAGATCACAGAGACAGTTTATCGTCACGAAGCAGGGAGACAGTTTATTGTCACGAAGCAGGGAGACATTTTATTGTCACGGAGCAGGGAGACAGTTTATCATCAGAGAGTACAGAGACAGTTTATCGTCACGGAGCAGGGAGACAGTTTATCATCAGAGAGCACAGAGACAGTTTATTGTCATGGAGCACAGAGACAGTTTATTGTCACGGAGCAGGGAGACAGTTTATCGTCACGGAGCACAGAGACAGTTTATCACCAGAGAGCACAGAGACAGTTTATTGTCACAAAGCAGGGAGACAGTTTATCTTCACGGAGCACAGAGACAGTTTATCGTCACGAAGCAGGGAGACAGTTTATCATCACGGAGCACAGAGACAGTTTATCACCAGAGAGCACAGAGACAGTTTATCGTCACGAAGCAGGGAGACAGTTTATTGTCACGAAGCAGGGAGACATTTTATTGTCACGGAGCAGGGAGACAGTTTATCATCAGAGAGTACAGAGACAGTTTATCGTCACGGAGCAGGGAGACAGTTTATTGTCATGGAACAGGGAGACAGTTTGTCGTTTAAAATGTTTTTTCACCTGAGATTAATAAGAAGATGATTTGGCTGAAGGAGGACAGACGAATGGCTTTTGTCGTGCTGCTGCAGGTTTTCACTGGTGATAAAAGCATCTGCTGCAGGACTAAAATATTGACTGTGATCGCTTTCCTCCCACATTCTGCAGGTATCTGCTAATATCGCTCTGGAAGCCTTCCTGATCAGGCCGTCAAAGCTGCTGGGTTTATCCTGCTCAGTGCTACAGCGATCCCATGTGTCTGCCAGCTCACCTCTCCCTCACAGCGCTGACAAGGACAAGCTCGCAGAACACAACGCCACGGGAGGGTCGTCGCTCATTTTCAAATGCCAGGCTGTAAACAACAGCGACCTGCCAGCCAGTCAGCTCAGCAAGGTGAGGCGCAGGCAGATAAACAGTGTGCAGATTGTTCTAAATGTCTCCAATAAGCTATTGTGGCAAAGTCTGCATAAAATAACCATTTGATTATTGTTCAGTTAGTTACGACCTGAGTCGTGGGGCCAAAACAAAACCAGGGCACACACACCACAGCAGCAAAATACGTCTACCCTAAGGCCACGATAATCAAAAGCAGAGAGACCTTCTAGACCAGCTCACACAGGGCGTAGGGTCTGGTGTCGTCCCTCGACCCTGAGAGAGCAGGAAAACCAAACCTAGCAGATACAGCCCCGTCCTTACACAGGTGTGTGTGAGTGTGTCATTATCAATGAAAGCAGCTTCAACACTGATGTTTTGATTTTGTGGTGTGAAGTAGATCACGTTGTGTTGGGGTTAGGAATTCTGAATGAGGATCAGCCTGCAGTGATGAACATACATCCTTGTGTGCATCAGCACCAACCTCGGTGACTCAGTAAGTCTACTGATGTATGTCTGCAACCTCTGCACACACTCTGCAGACTCGTGTCAATGACTGCACAGATGGATTCATCAGTCAACTCTGATGTGTGTTTAATGCAAGGATAGTCCATGTGCATGGCTGCCAGGCCTCTGGTTTGTTCAGCACTCACATTTAGATGTAGCTCCAGTTTAAGTGGAACTAGCATACTGCCATGGCTGCTCTGGTGTGGCGCTAGCAGGACACTTTCAGCCAGCTTCTTTAAACAACAAACATCAGATTTTAGATCTGGATCAACACTTTTAAAGGCCAGACCGTCTCTTTTGGGGGTCATGGTAACTCCTAATAACATTCAGAATTCTGTGTAAGTATTATGGGCTGTTGTACCTCTGCTTGACTGATAGATGGGCCATTCCTGTCTGTACCGGGTCGCCCCGGGCCGGGTGGCCCCAGTCGGCCCCAGCCTGGCCCGGTTGATTCCTTAAGCCCATGTGGGCTGATTCTACCCACCAATCAGAGGCTTGCTCTAATGGAAGGTGTGAATTTGCTGTCAGCAGTGGGTGTGTTGGCCCTGGTCGACCTGAAGCAGACCCCCATCGAGAAGAGGGCAGAGAATGAGCCTTGGTTGGCCCGGAAAAATACCAGGCCACCCAGATATGTAAACAACCTACGCTACCCGCCCCCGGCCGACCCGGTACAGGTGGGAATGGCCCAATAGTCTATCAGTTCATTTTCTATTCTTATGCCAGTCACAGAGAAACAATAAACATCTTTTAGTGGTGATCAGGCCCTCACAGGACAACTCATGAGGCTGTGTGAATCCAGTCCAGGTTTTAAGTTTAGAACTCATGAACCTGTTTGAATCCAGTCCTGGTTTTAATTTTAGAACTCATGAACCTGTTTGAATCCAGTCCTGGTTTTTAAGTTTAGAACTCATGAAGCTTTATGAATCCAGTTCTGGTTTTTAAGTTTACAACGCATGAAGCCGTGTGAATCCAGTCCTGGTTTTTAAGTTTACAATGCATGAAGCTGTGTGAATCTTGTCCTGGTTTTTAAGTTTAGAACTCATGCCGGGAAGAAGGCAGGGACACCCAGCAGTGCCTGGCCCGGGTTCGGGGGCCTCAGGTTGACCTTGGCTCCTCTGCCGTTCCATCACAGGGGAGGGGGAGGTCCAGGAGGGGGAGGACCCAACCTTACCTGGATGTCCCATGTCTTATATATTCTGGAAGTTGTGCAAATGCAGGGGTGGGCATAGATATTCTGCTGGGGCGGGGCTGGGTTGGTGCCCTCGGACTCCGTGAGGCTCTGTAATGCTGCTGCTTTGGGCCCTGGCAGGATGGGCTGGGGTTTCCATGCCCTGAGTGGCAGTTTGACAGCAGAGGTGCCTATTGGGGCCAGTAGGGGAGCTGGCTCCCTGGAGGGCTAAGCCCAACCAGCCATTCCTCCCCATCCCGGCATATTTCTCTCCTCCTGCTCCCTCACATCATCACACAAACATACACATAGGACCTTGGGGGGTAGGCAAGTCAGGGAGTGCGGGTATGGACCCCATTTCCGCATTCCTGTGGAAACCTGCCCCCCAATTTTATTTGCACCTTATACACTTCCACTGACGACATTCCACACAAACACACACTTAGGGCCTTGGGAGTGAGCACATTCAACGGCATTTGGCAGGGGGATATCTCAGCCTCCTCCTGGGTGCCGGTGCCCACTTCCAATTTTAAACCGCACTTAGACACTGATGGCTGAGGGTGTAAGTGGGGTGGTGCGGTGGCATCAGCTGGCATAGGCCGGATGATGCCCGCAATGCCCACTCACCACAGCCATGGAATACACCTCATGATCACACAACACTATATTGGAGCAGGCGGAGGGAGACTAGGGGCCTTAGCCACCTCTGTTGTTGCTTGGCTTCCTGGGGCTGGAGGCTAGGAGAGAGATCTGGCTGTCTGGTTGGGGTCTGGGGTGGTAGGTTGCTGTGCTCAGCATTGGGCGGGGGAGCCTGCTCATCAGCACCCCAGCAGAAAGGGTCAAACTCTGGTTACCGGTGATGGTTGTACCCAATGTCCAGCAGTACCGGGACCAGAGTGAATAGGGTGTGTATGGGGAGCATGAGTGGGTGTCCGGCGTGCATTTTTGTAAGTCTTGGGTTGTATGTGCATGTGTGAGCATGAGGGAGGGAGCGTGTGACTGTGTTTGTGTATGACTGTATATGTCAGGTGGGGCATTTGGGTCCTCCCCTCTCCTGGAACTTCTCTTGATGATATAGATCTCTGTCCCCCCTCCCCCTGCCACACCTGGTGTGGGGGCTTGTGCCTTGGTCTGCCTGACTGTTCGTGGCAACCGGGTCTGGGGGTTTAAGATTTTGGCATCTGCCTGTTAGATCCCGGTGGCTGCCTGGTGGGGTCTGGGTCCCTGGGCTCTGCTGGGTCCCCGGCGGGGGTGGTCGCCCCTGGGTCCCGGGTCGCTGGGTCCCGGGCTCGGCCGGCTAGGGGGTGGGAGGCTGCGGGCGGGCCTGAGGGCTTGCCGCTGATATCTCCAGGTTTTCTGCCGGCTGCTGGTTGTGGCCCCCCGGGGCGATCCTCTGTGCCTCTCGAGGGGGGCGGGGGCCTTCCTGGTTGCAGTCTCCTTGGGGTTCCTGTGTTCTGGGGCAGCGCCTGGATCTCTGGGACTTGGAGCTCCCCCCGTCTCCTGCGCATCTTTGGGGGACGGATCTGTGGTCCCTCACACTCTCTGTTGGGCGCTCCTATAGAAAAACCTTAAATAAACAAGCGCGTGTACACACACAGGTGCTCACATGGTGCTCTCAAAAGTATGGGCTTGGGCACGTTAAACACAGGTCTTAAGACTATGGTGGGCACTTAATGCGTTGTGATTTATTATCGTGATTCTTCAGTTAAGCAATGTTGATTATATATATATATATTTTTTCTTTTCATCAAGTTGACGCAGTGATAGGTAGATCTTGTTGTATTGTTGTTGTGTCCCTTTTTTGTGTCCCTTTGTTTTTTTTTTTGTCTTTTTCTGCAGGTCTAGAAGCAGACTCTTGTTCATTTTTGTTTATTTTTGTGGAACACCCCCCCCCCCACCCCCCACCCCCCCCCCCTTCCCACCTTTTCTTTTCCTTTCTCTTTCACCTCTGTCTCCGTGTCTGGCCGTTTTTGTGTCCCTTTGTTGTTGTTTTTTTGTCTTTTTCTGCAGGTCTAGAAGCAGACTCTTGTTCATTTTTGTTTATTTTTGTGGAACCCCCCCCCCCCTCTCCCCACCTTTTCTTTTCCTTTCTCTTTCACCTCTGTCTCCGTGTCTGGCCGTTTTTGTGTCCCTTTGTTGTTTTTTTTTTTTGTCTTTTTCTGCAGGTCTAGAAGCAGACTCTTGTTCATTTTTGTTTATTTTTGTGGAACCCCCCCCCCCCCCCCCCCCCCCCCCCGTCCCCACCTTTTCTTTTCCTTTCTCTTTCACCTCTGTCTCCGTGTCTGGTCGGAATTACAAAGCATTCAACAACAATAACAATAAAGTTTTAAGTATCAGGAGTGACATTAAAAGCAAACGCTTTGATGCTCCACCTGAGAATAAATCTGTAAGGCTTGTCACCAGCTTTCAGACATCAATTCTGCTTGCTTCACAGCCAGACAGGACACGGTAAAAAAAAAAAAAAAAAAAAAGTTTAGAACTCATGAAGCTGTGTGAATCCAGTCCTGGTTTTTAAGTTTACAACGCATGAAGCTGTGTGAATCCAGTCCTGGTTTTTAAGTTTAGAACTCATGAAGCTGTGGTTTTTAAGTTTAAAACTCATGAAGCTTTGTGAATCTAGTTCTGGTTTTTAAGTTTAGAACGCCTGAAGCTGAGTGAATCCAGTCCTGGTTTTCAAGTTTACAACGCATGAAGCTGTGTGAATCCAGTCCTGGTTTTTAAGTTTAGAACTCATGAAGCTTTGTGAATCTAGTTCTGGTTTTTAAGTTTACAACTCATGAAGCTGTGTGAATCCAGTCCTGGTTTTTAAGTTTACAACGCATGAAGCTGTGTGAATCCAGTCCTGGTTTTTAAGTTTAGAACGAATGAAGCTGTGTGAATCCAGTCCTGGTTTTTAAGTTTAGAACTCATGAAAGTGTGAATCCAGTCCTGGTTTTTAAGTTTAGAACTCATGAAGCTGTGTGAATCCAGTCCTGGTTTTTAAGTTTACACTGCATGAAGCTGTGTGAATCCAGTCTTGGTTTTTAAGTTTATAACGTATGAAGCTGTGTGAATCCAGTCCTGGTTTTTAAGTTTACAACGCATGAAGCTGTGTGAATCCAGTCCTGGTTTTTAAGTTTAGAACTCATGAAGCGGTGTGAATCCAGTCCTGGTTTTTAAGTTTACAACGCATGAAGCTGTGTGAATCCAGTCCTGTTTTTTAAGTTTAGAACTCATGAAGCTGTGTGAATCCAGTCCTGGTTTTTCAGTTTAAAACTCATGAAGCTTTGTGAATCTCGTTCTGGTTTTTAAGTTTACAACGCATGAAGCTGTGTGAATCCAGTCCTGGTTTTTAAGTTTAGAACGCATGAAGCTGTGTGAATCCAGTCCTGGTTTTCAAGTTTACAACGCATGAAGCTGTGTGAATCCAATCCTGGTTTTTAAGTTTAGAACTCATGAAAGTGTGAATCCAGTCCTGGTTTTTAAGTTTAGAACTCATGAAGCTGTGTGAATCCAGTCCTGGTTTTTAAGTTTACAATCCATGAAGCTGTGTGAATCCAGTCCTGGTTTTTAAGTTTACAACGTATGAAGCTGTGTGAATCCAGTCCTGGTTTTTAAGTTTACAATGCATGAAGCTTTGTGAATCCGGTCCTGGTTTTTAAGTTTAGAACTCATGAAGCTGTGTGAATCCAGTCCTGGTTTTTTTATGTTTAGAACTCATGACTGAGTCACTAAAAGAATCTCTTATAAAAACATCAAAGCAGTGAGACAAATCTCATCATGTACCGAGTCTCACCTAGACCCAATGCAGGAACCGAAGGAATCCAGAGCAACTAAAGCTTTAAAGGAAGCAGCAAACTGCTCTAGAGTAGCAGTTTCAGACAGGAAGTGTCGACTGTGTGAGCAGCCATTGTTAAGGGAGATTGAGAGCCTGTTGTGTGAACATAGACATATTTTCTTCCACCAGGAAGCTGACATGACAACGCAGAGTGTGAATTCTCCTATGTGAGACAAAAACATTGGGTGTCAATTATCAGAAGTGCAGAAATGCACACTCGCAGGCTCGTCTTCAGCCAGCTGGTGTAACGGCGCTCACTGAGGCTGCGTTCTCCACACAGAGACGTTTAACCAGCCACAGAAACACTCATCCAGCTCCTTGATGTCACACGTGACTCAGTACCTGTCACAAATATTTAATAGCATGATGTATTAGTTTTATATGAGCTGTGCTTCCTTTACATGACATCTTTTTGGGATGCACGGCAACAGCTGATTCACATTTACACTCAATCAAGTTCAAGATGGCTGCCACAGCTAATTGACTCTAGCAGATAACATGTGGAACATTTTCACAGCATAGTAGTAAAGCACTGGGGATTGGCTGAGGGTTCTCAACACTTTCTATGCGAGACGTTCCCGTAACGCCGCCATGTTTGTCTCTCAGCTAAATGTCTCCTGAAGCTCCGTGAAGACTGCAGCCTGTGAGGCAGCAGTTAGGATGAGTGTTGGTAAGCTCCAGCTCCCGAAAACACGGCTTTAACAAATAGTTTGTGTTTCACAGAAGAGAAAACATGTTTGAATGATTATTTCTGATTCTAACAGGTCACTCTGGGTGTCTCATGCAGCCTGAACATGAAAATAGTCTCCTACACCTATCTCCTGCATCAACTTCTGATCGAAAACAGACAGTGAAACTCTAGGATT